GATACACAACGACCCTGAAATTCCCAGATCGCTCTCTCAATTCTTTCTCGAGTTATCGTGCGCACAGACAGACAGACAAACAAACAGAATGAAACTTTTCCGGTCATTGGAGTAATGGGCTTCGCTAATCGCTCAGCCAATAATTTGAATTTGGTCAGTTTGTATAATTGTCGATAATTGTTCAGAATGGATTATAATTTTGCTTATTGTCTAGTCATCAGTCAATAAATTAACTATGAGGCCAAATTGAAAGCAAAAGCTCTCATTCAAAGTGCTTTGGCAAAGGGTACCCGACTTGGTCAGTAATACAGCGCAGGGTTGACAGAAATTATATGCCTCCCAAGATGAGACATAATCACTCAGCCATCGGTTTTTGCGGTCTTCCGAGCCTTTCACATAATTATCCCACCCGTGCTCTGCCAAATGGGTGGCCAGCCTCAAAGGCGCGCGTCGGAGTGGTCGAAAGAGTACGCCCGTTTTTCTCATATTCATTCGTCGAATACAGGATCTCAGCGCCTGCGAGACTAAGGATGGACCAGCCCGCAATACACGCATGCATTGCGGACAAAATCTTGCCTACCTATCAGGCGCTATGAGAGCTTGTTTAGACTAAACTTAGCGGGTTCGTTAGGCAAATGGCGCAACAGGCGTACTTTCCCGGAGCGCTAACTCAGACGTCGTGCGGCAAATAGGGGGAAGTTAGTTACTGTTGTTCCCGACCTGGGAAAATCGAAAATGGGGGGCGTAAGCATATGACGTGTGTGGGACTAGTAAGTTCCAAATTTGGCCTGAAAAAATGAGCCAGAATCAAGTCAATTGCCTCTGTGTGACGTTTCCGCGTTCTCTGGGACGTTACATATCGATAAGAGATTTTCATTGACTAGCGGGAATTTACCGCTTTATTGATGCACCGGAACCACAGCCGAATTTTAATTCTTGACCTACCGAATGTTGACTATGGATCACGAATGAAAGGTGTGAAAAGTGTGAAAGTTCCTTTGCTATCTTATCGCGGTGGGTGGTAGACTCCGCCAATCTAGCAATCCACTCGAGCGGGGCCGTTTTAAAAAACCAAGTGAGAAAGCCAAGTGGACAGTCGTCCGCAGACCAGAATCGGACAGTCTCAACGACATCGTCAACCATCTCGGTTCAGTAGCTCGACAAGTCCCTCGGCATGGAGCGCTTTGCGGGCCGCGTGGCCGTGGTGACGGGCGCCAGCAGCGGCATCGGCGCGCAGATCGCCGAGGACCTGGTGCGCGCCGGGATGGTGGTGGTGGGCGTGGCGCGCCGCGTGGACCGACTCCAGGCGCAGGCTGCCTCGCTGGCCGGGCTCCGCGGCCGCCTCGAGCCGCTGCAGGCCGACCTCTCCAGCACTGACGAGCTGCGCCGCGTCTTCAAGTGGGTGGACGACAACCTGGGCGGCATCTCCGTCCTGGTCAACAACGCCGCCATACTGTCCACGGTGCCGGTCCCAGGTAAGCACGCGCCAACCCGTACGCCTGACGGGGGAGCGGGTAAAGGCGGTGCGGGGTACATTTAATTTTACAAATCTCGGCGGAAGATCCGATCTCAACTCTGTGTTTCCAGACCAGGACCCTGCCCAGTCTGAGAAACTCATCGCCACGAACGTCACGGCCGTGCTGATCGGCTGCTCGCTGGGCGTCGACAGCATGAAGAAGCACGGCATCAAGGACGGACACATTATCAACATTAACAGGTGGGGGAGAGCGTTCTAAGGCGAATCCGCCTACACTGTGAAACAAGGGTGTCGAGCCCAAGGTGTCGATAGCAACTGTCCGACTGTTTCGCGGGAATCTCTCTTGACGTAAACTGCTTTGTGCAGCACCGCTGGCCACCGCGTCTTCGGCAGCTCCGGCGGGCTCAACGGGTCCGCCGTCGCGTACTGCGCCAGCAAGCACGCCACGGTGGCGCTCACCAAGGGGCTCCGCGCCGACCTGCAGGCGCTCAAGGCCAGCGGCTTCAAGATCCGCGTCACGGTAAGGGAGCGGCGCTCGGCGGCGTCCCCCCTGTGCAGCCGTGTACTCCGGGCAACCCTCGTCTCCGATGACTCCCGCCCATTATTGCGTTGTTCTCAGAGCCTCAGCCCGGGCGCCGTCCGGACCGAGATGCTGCCCGAGGAGTTCGCCAGCCTGATTACGGACGACGACATGATCCTCACCACCAAGGACGTATCACGCGCCGCCCTGTTCGTCCTCAGCTTACCCCCCGCGGTCGAGGTACTTACAGCACCTACGCCACCACCGCGGGGCGCCTGTCCTGTTGGCAGGTTGGCTTTCAACACCGTTCATGCGTTCCAAATGTCCCGTGCATGCCTGTTTCAGATCACCGAGCTCACCATCCAGCCCACCGGAGAGTTCATGTAGAAAAGAGCCACGGGGTTTCCGAACGATGCACGGTTTACACACAAAATTAATTGAATAAACGATAACAGCTTACTGGAAGTAACGTAATTCACTTGTGACCACAAGGTAGTCTTGAATAGGGGAAACGACTTGATTTCGTATATTATCAGACAGACAATAGGCATTATTAGGCATCGGTCCATTCTTACAACTAAGGAATCAGTCGGCTTGGCCAGGCCAGACTGTGCGCTCGATCCAGTCTATGTGCTGGCTAACGTCGGCGAATAAGTCTGGCAGGAGGTGGCCGTCAGCGTCCCGGACGGTGCAGTACGACAGCGAGGAGGCGATACCGAGGACGTAGTCGACAGCAAACGAACCGTGGGGCGCCAGGAGGATGTGCATGTAGGAGATGAGCGGCGTGCCAGGGTCACCCTTTAAAAAAAACGATAGGTTATGGGTAGTAAACAACAAAAACAAATTAGAGACTTTCATGAAAAAAATAACGTTTATTAAAACCTGTCCTATAATAAAATCATGGTTACAAAAATACTAGAAAATGTAAACGTTACGTTAGTTTTGGTGAGTATATTTAACTTACCGCGTAGGTCTGGTTGTCACAGAGCCCACCCGCGCACAGCAGGGAAGGTAAGAAACCCTCCGGCAGTGCGGCGCGCAGCCTGTCGTGCTCCAGAAGAGCGGCGGAGCAGCGCTCTGAGGAGCGCACGGTCAGGGTATCGGTGGGTTTCTGCAAGCTCATCTCCTCCCCTGCAAACAAGCGTAAAGGGGTCACATTACATTTATCATGAATGGTGGGTGCATGAACCATGAACTCCCTTGACCAGGAGTCTTCCATAAGAATTGAATTGAATTGAATTGAATTGGATTTTAATTTCAGACTACGTACAACAGGGCTAATAAACCCCACTGCAGTAAGCAGTCCGCTCTATCTCGTAAATTTTTAGTAATACAAAGTAACAAGAACAAGAGTGGGCATGTGAGAGAGGGGGTATATCCAGTGACCGACAAGTGGAAAGTGGAAAGTGCTCAGGCTTGCCATGTTGAGTTATAAACTTATATTTTTGGTGTGATATATCAGTCGGTAATTAATCTCCTGCTGGATAATCAATCAAATAGTTTCAGTTCTTACAGAAATATATTACCAAAGCTTCATTTAAGTCAAAAAGGAGTTGTAAAAAGAAATGTCATGTTTGAACGCCTGCCTGTTTGCCAGGGCTGCCAGGACATCCACAGTTTTTTACAACATATTTTTGACTTAAATGGAGGTTTAGATGATATATTTTTCAATGAACTGGAACTATTTGGTTGATAGTCTGGCATAGATTAATTACTGCGTGATATATCGCACCAAAAATATAAGTTTATTAGTCAAGATGGCAAGCCTGAGCACTTCCCACTTGTCGGTCACTGGGTATACCCGGGACGACTAAACTTACAGGTGCCGACGATGTTCCAGCCGGCCGCGGTGGCGCGTAGGCCCGTCCGCAGCGGCACGTCGGCCACCGTGTTGAGGCAGACGGGCAGGAACTCTCGGAGGTCGTAAGAGGCGGTGAGCTTGACGACAGCCAGGTCGGCGTAGGCGCGGCCCGGCCGGTACTCGGGGTGCACGACGACCTTCTCCACGTACGCCAGGCCGCTGCCCGTGCAGCCTCTCCCCAACCCAGATAGCTCCACTTTTGATAGGGGGAGACTGTGGGCAAAAACGGGAAGAGGAGGGCGTGGGAAGAGAGGTCAGCGTTCATCGGTACAAAGTCCCACTCATGAATCCACAAGGGTGTGTCGTGTCACAAGAACTTAGGGTGAAGAGAGGGGAAGAAAGTTCCCCATTCAGCAGATCTTACCAGCCCAGCGCGGCGCAGCGGGCCGCGGTGAGGACGGTGTTGGGGGAGACCAGCGCGCCCGCGCAGCTGTGCCGCCGGCTGTACTTCGCGTCGCCGTACATGAGCGTGACCTGCACGACAGTAGAACGCAGGCCTCGTCAAAAACAGGACTTTAAGCAAAATGTGAACGATAACCGCCCGGCACTCTAGTCTAACCACTTTGTGGCGCTGGTCCCCAGCTTCGGGAGAAACGTGATTGTGGTGGCATACGTCGTCAGCTGTCAATTCAGGCTTAACCTCCTGTGTGTACGCATGATAGTTGCCACAAAATTCCGTGTGGAATACTCTGCACACTGCACAGAAAACGGACACACATTGAAAAATCATGCTACTCTGCTATGTCGTTGGCTCATCAAGGAACAGCATGAAGAAAGTACGCGACAGCACTCACTGCCTCTGGCCACAGTCCCAGGACCCGTGTTGGGCACCTGCACGTCGCTGCCCTCCGACTTGACGCGCACGTTGTTCACGCAGCCGTCCGGTCTCGGAGGCCAGACGACGCTCTCGATCCAAGGTACGTAAGCCGCCACCCTGCGGGTCAGAACAACACGAACAACAACGGCATAGAAATATTTACAATAAATAGGAGCTCGGTAGCCGCAGTTTGGTAATAAGCTGCGCGAACAGCTGACTCCGGCTCACTTTGCGTTCTCCCTACTGACCTGGTGTAGACACCCGGCTTGCCGAGACCGCAGGGTGGCCCAAACGAGACGACTCCGACGATTCGGAAAATGCACGTGATGGCGCTGCTGGGGTTTGCTCGCATCTGGAGCGGGCCGCCAGAGTCACCCTGGGTAAGACAAATACAAAATAATGATATTTAGTTCTACGGGGAATGACACTTTGCTGGTAGGGTTCAGCTGCCGTCCCGTCCCGGCCCCTCACCTGGCAGGTGTCTCGGTTGTGCTCCCCGCCGCCCGCACACAGCTGGGTGGCGTCCTCGAGCCCGCGGGGGACCTTCTGCATGTCCAGCTCCAGGTTGTCCCTGCAGTACTGCATGTCGCGCACCGTGAGGTTCACTTTCAGCAGCGACTGACTGCCATCGTCCTCTACAGACACAAGAAGCAACGGAGCCTCCAGAACTGGGAATCCATTTAGTCGTGTACGAGGGGTGTGGAACTGGACACACAATGTATACATCGGGAACAACGCGTTAAGAAACAATCATGACGCAACCGGACACAATCAGTGTGGATACAGAGTTCACAAAACGCAAGCGTGATTTTCACGCCAGGCGTGATTTTTCACTCTTCGTAAGCTTCACACAGCCAATCAGGAACCGACTTTCATCACGCCGGGCGTAAACATCACGCGTAGCGTGAAAATCACGCTCGCGTTTAGCGAACTCTGTGTCCACCTTCACACACAATCGAAAACAATCACTCACAATCCGAAACAATCACACACAATCTGAAACAATGATTGTCTAGACACAATCATGTGTACAATTTTTTGGCCAGTTCTATACCCCTCGGTCGCGTATATTACCGAAGCTAGTGGCGCCCCATCCGGTTGCGACGGCGTCCCTCCCCGTGTTGTCCACATCCATGTCCGTGTCCAGGCAGGCCGG